AAAGGGATGGAAAGGGCATTCGTACGTACAAATACTGCAGCACAACGAGCTTGCTGAATGACTCTGGAAGAGAGCCCGTGAGTGAGTTGTCCACCATGCTCCTGCACATGCACTCACACACACATTCATACGAAAGCCAGCCAGCCAGCCAAATAGAAATGTTGAGATGGAGAAAAGCATGTCCTCGAGATTTCCAAAGTAACTCCACATGGCACTCCTCTCCTCTGCCGCTGAGCATGACCCATCAAGTGTGTTGGTATGTGGATAGGCAAGCGCATGCATGAGCATGGGCATGGTATGTATGGGTGTGACGTGTGGCTTGTGGAGTGGGCACGTCATGGCAGACATACGCGGGGAGGACGCAGAGATTTCCAAGAAGTTGCAAGAGGGAGGGGCGGCACTCACAGGTATGTGAGGGTAGTGAGGTTGCCAATGTGCGCAGGTATGGTGGTTAGTAAGTCATATGCCACTCCATCCAGGTGCCTGCTCCTCACTCCAGCACGGATGATTGGGGATAGATAGAGGAGAGCAACGGCACGAGGTGGAAAGAGGTGTCAGGGAGGGCGGCACAGGCTGCACTTGCTTGCATGGTGATGATGGCTTAGCAATAGCATAACAGAGACTAGACACTTACATGGCGGTAAATTAGAGCTCACACGATGCTGACTTGGCATGGAAACGGGGTGGTGGAGTGCGGGGTGGAGTGGGGGGCGGGTGGGTTTGGTTTGGCGCTTACATAGCGATCACTTGGCCGTGGTTGTTGCAGAGGAGGATATCCAGGGAGTCCTCCTGGCATGTGACCGATGCAAGGTTATCGTTGCCCCACTCCGACGCCAACACCCCCATCACCTCGCCTGCACCCGTGTGGGGTGGGTGGCATGGCATACGATGGCACGGCATGACATGACACGGCACGGTAATACCCAACCCGGCATAGAATATAGAATTTCAGGTATCGAGTCGACCCGATCCAATCGGCCTGTTGGCTCATGCCAACCGCATGGCATGACATTGCATGCTAGTGTGCACACACACAAGAACATGCACACACACACACACACACACACAAACACAAACACACACACACACACACACACACACACACAAAACAAAAAAAAGTACACACCCAGCCACCCACACACATCCACACACCCATACCACACTCACACGCACCCTATATTGATACCGGGACATGAGAGAGCCGCACAGCAACTCGCCATGGCCCATTCCCCCTTCGTTACTCCCTGTCACTTAGTACTTCGGAGAAACGCACAGCAAGGCTCTACACCGCACAGCACATCACGGCACACCAAGGCAGAGCACAGCACACCGAAGCACACCACAGCACCACACGGCAGAGCACGGTACCGCACGCACAGCACATCACTATAACAGCAGGGTACCTAACGGGTTGTTCCTCTGCCCCGAAACGCAGCGACCGCCAGCCACGACGGCAGCGAGTAGAATTGCTGCCACGAGCGCACTGCGAGGCAAGCATGCCATTGCAACCGAATGTCGGCACCCCAAGGGCACGAGAGGAGCGGAGAGGCACGGAGCGGAGAGGAGAGACGGGGTGTTGATACGTCCCGCCAATGCGCGGATGCCCGTTCGCGCGGCTAGTGGAGCGTTCGAGGCTCGAGAGAGAACTACGCGGGCGATTGCCCCGTGAATGCACGCTCCGAGCCTTGAGACTCGGAGGATGGTTGCCCCCACCGCAATTGCCGGCACTGGACTGACTAAAATCGCGGGCACGAAGGCCAAGAACCCGAATTTCTCGAGCGTTGAACCGAGGCGTAGTTGGTAGAATCTTAAACTGCTTGCGCCGGGCCGTGTTGTCCTGAAGGGACAGCGGTAACGGACACTAAACTACATGGCGTTCAAGAGCGGCTTACGGTTTGCGTATTCCACGTCGTCGCGGCGACCCGGACTGACTAAGGACATTGCCCCTTGGGGACACTGGCGTGGCCGTGAGTGAGGTGATTATCCCACGTCTTGTTGCACTCACTGACATATGATAGTTGTGCTTTCCCATCCCAATTCTCGCCCCCTCGAGTTCTGATCCGCGATTTAGGAAGATCCCAACCACTGTTCTTTGCATGAAATCATAATCTAAATAACAAAGAGACCCACAAGAATCAATAAAATGTGACGCTTCGTTGCTGACGTAGACTTTCCAACAACTCTATAAGCAGCAGCAAAATGTTAGCGTTTCGCGGGTTGGAGTGATTACCGTAAGGGGAATTTAATAGGTCAAAGTAGAGTCCATCCAAAGAACACCTAAAACTCTACAAGCGTTGTCTATGCTATTGAGCACCACCGTTTATCGCATCCAATCTCCCTACACATTTGGAAAGCTCATGGACCTAATCAAATCTCGAGAGTCCAGACCCTTCCCGCCCATCTGGCTGGTCACTGGGTTGCGTACATTTTGGCCAGGTTTAGTCCTCCTGCCTCCCACCTTTCTGATCTGTTCCCGCGTTATCGTCAATGAAGTGATTCTCACGAGTCGGGATCGTCTAGGTTCCGATTCCCGCACACTAATTCTGGTTGACCTACGCGCGGAGAATCTCGTCAGCCCAAATGCGGATGGCCTCCGCGTGGCGTCGATACTCAGCCGCCCGTTCTGGCCAGCGGCTGGTCGAAGAGTGAACGCCGATCGATGATTCCTCAACAACCTCGCATCCGTTCGCTTTACCGACTAGACTGTGCGGCGCAGCTAGTCGCATCCTCGCAAAACCTGTTTCCTAACGAGTTAAGTGTGTAATCGAGCAACCTAATTTCCATCGGTGTATCTTTTTTAGCATCAGTGAGTCAAAACTCCTCGGTTCGCTCGCTTGTATCGGGTCGTCGCATTGCTCGTGATTTCTTCCCGCTTTCACCCCTGTCGACCATTCCACGCGCTCATCTTCCGCGATCCATTGCCTTTCTCCCTCATCGTCATTCCTCTTCCAGCTAACGCCTCTACGCTGCTTATTTAGCCCGATTTCCTTCCGTCCGACGCTTACCAACTCGTGGATCGGGAATCTGAAGGGCCCGCCCGCTCGCTATCTCACCTGGGAGCCCCTGGTCATTAGAGCCTCTTCCCTCTGTCTTCTGGTCACTAGAGGCTCTACCTCTGGTCTCCCACTGGCAGCCTTGTTTCATGGCGTCGCTGCGCTCATGGGGCGCGGGCGCAGCAGCAGGAGGAGGAGCAGCAGCAGGAGCAGGTGCAGCAGGAGCAGGAGCAGCATTTGCGAGTCAAGACGGCGGCGTGTTCTCCTCTCCGCTCGGTGCCCGCGCCAAGCCATCCTCGCCCGCGCCTGAATTTAACTTCCACACCCCCTCGCCCTCGCACCACCGCGCACCCTCCCCCGGCGGGATCTCAAACCAACAGCAGCAGCAGAACGGGTATCCCCCCAGTACTCCGCAAACTTCCCCGCTTCCGCCTCCGCCGTCCGCCTCCATGCCCGGACTCTCCTCCCCGTTCCCTTCCTCCGCCGCCGCGGCGAGCGCATTAGCCTCCGCAGTAAGCGGTGTCTCCGCGAGCCCGTGGGGAAGCATGGTGGTGGGCGCGAACGGGCAGCCGCAGCGATGGCTGGACGCCGCTGGAGTCCTGACCGACGTGGAGGAAGCGGGGAGGTTCTTATCGGATCTGCTCGCGGATGACGTGGCAGCATCTGCACCAGGACACATGGCAGCGTCAGCGTCAGGGCATTTAGCGGCGGGCGCCGGCGCGGGGACGGGGGCTGGGTCAGGGGGCGGGGCTTTGGGTTTACCGGACCTGCAGGAGGATCTTGAGGCCGGCCGCCTGTCTGCGTTTCAGCCGTATTCTAGTCCGCCGTTGGAGGTGAGCTGATCACGGGGATTGACAGACGGGGGACAGAGGGGGAGGCGAGGAGAAAGAGGGCCAATAGCTGATGGTGAACGAAACAGGTACAAGTCCTCCTTTGAACCAACTGTTAGCTGCACTTTTAACCCTCTTCCCCGCCCCCCCTCCGCTCCTTCCCTTGGTCGCCCCACTCCCCTCCCCTCAACCCCCATTCCCCCCAAACCACCCGTCCGTCCCGCACGCAATCCTTCCTGCGCGGAAATCTCTCGGTGGCAACAGTGGCCGGCGGCGGTGGAGCAGGTGGGGTTCGAGGAGCTGCCTGCGGAGCTGATCGCGCGCTACAACGCAGCGGGCGGCCAGGGCTCCGCGCTCTGCGGACTCTTCCCCGCCGCGCGGCTCGCCTGGGCCACCGTCAACAACACACTTTTCCTCTGGCGCCTGGGGAACAGGTGCGCGCGCGCGGGGGGGAGGAAGGGGGAGGGTTGGGGGGAGGGGGAAAGAAGGGGGGGAGGTGGGGGAAAGGAGAAAAGGGGGTGAAGGGAGAGGGGGAGGGTGGATGAGTTCACTGTTCTGCGCTCCTGAGTCTCTCTTTTCATCTCTCTCAAGAAGTCGTGCATTCGTACAGAGAGCCATGGAGATGCTGCTAGGGTTGATGTGCATACATACACTCGCTGCCATTTGCACAAGGTCCATCCCATCCATCCATCCACGCGTCACTCACTCCATGCATGCATGCGCTGCCATTTTCCCTTGTGGCACTCCCTGCGCGCACAAACGCGCACACACGTGTGCGGAGCAGGGGCGGGAAGTGTGTGCAGTTCACGTGGGAGCAGCACGCCATATGCGCGGTGGGGCTGGTGAAGCCGCGTCCATCCGTGTTCATCCACGCCATCCAGCACCTGCTCGTGCTCGCCACGCCCTTCGAGGTCCGTCTCAGTGTCACTGTCTGTCACACCAACAAACAGCGATACTGCATTGCCATGCACACGTGTGTGTGTGTGTGTGTGTGTGTGCAAGGTAGGAGCTGGGGTTCCTGTTGGTTCATTAGTCGAAGCCTCGGCATTTACTAAACTACTACCATCATCGCTCTGCTTTCCTCTCATCTTTCCCCTCTTCGTTCCCGTCCCCAAAACCGCGTCTCCCTGCGCTTCCTTCCCTTAGATTCTTCTGCTCGGCCTCTGCTCCCGGGGAAGCCCCTCCTTCCTGTCCCGCGGGGCTACTTCAGCAGCAGCAGCGCCATCGCCCGGCCTGCAAGACACGTCCTTCTTCAACACCCCTCCTCCTCCCACCTCCTCCATATCAGCAGCAGGAGCAACAGCAGGAGGGGAGGGAGAAGCGGGGGCAGGGACAGGTGCAGGCGCACAGGGGCAGGGGCAGGGGCAGGCGCTTCTAGACGAGATAGTCCTGCAGCCGCTGCCTGATTACGTGGTGAGCAGCGACAACGTGGCCATGACGTGCGTGGCAGGCACGCCGTGTGGGAGGATCTTCCTGGGAGGGCAGGACGGGCATGTATATGAAATGGTGTACAGCTCAGGGTCGGGCTGGCAGCGCCGCTGCCGCAAGCTGTGCCTCACCAACTCGCTCACGGCCATGATCTCCAAGTAAGTTGCAAGCTGCGTGCGTGCGTATGTGTGTGGTGCATGATTTAGCTCGTGACTTGTCACGCTTCAGCAAGTCGCATATGCAAGGAATAGTAGGCTGTTCCTTTGTCAGGGTTTGGCATATTGAGCACTCACTCTACACTCCTCCTTCCCCCTCCCCATCTTTCCAGTTTGCATCTCCCTCCTCACCCGCTCTCTCCCCCCTCTCCTCCTTCCCTCTCTTGCCCTCCACGCACACCCCGGCCGCCCCAGGCTGGTCGTTCCCTCAGTGTTCCGCTTCTCATCAGCCAGCCCAGTGGCAGAGCTACAGGTGGACGCGGATCGGGCCATTCTGTACGCGCGCACGCTCGACTCACGCCTCCTCGCCTTTGACCTCGGCGCGGACGGCCAGCAGCCCGCACGCAAGGTGGCCGAGGCCTCCCACGTGGGGTCCCTGCGCGAGTATTACCGCGAAGCTGGCTCTGCTGGTGGGTTTGGAGGGGGAGGCTTTTTTGGTGGTGGTGGGCAAGGGGTTGGTGGAGGAGCAGGAGTAGGAGGAGGAGGGAGAGGGGGGGGAGGGCGTGTGGTGCCTGCTAAGGCGTCTGTTGTGTCTCTTGCTCCCACGTCTGTTGCAGAATCTCGCTCCATTCATCTTGTAGCTGTTCTATCCGATGGCCGCCGTGTGTTCCTCTCAACGTCCCACACCCCCTCGCACTACCACATCCCCCGCCCTCTCCCTCCCCCCGGCCACTCCACTCCCACCGCCTCCTCTGCCGCGTCTCACCGCTCCCACAAGCACCCGCGGCCGTCCCAGCTCAAAGTTGTTTCTGCCCGGGCTGCCCCTCCACGTGGGCTCCCCATCTCTGCTGCTGGATCACCCGCCGCAGCAGCAGCAGCAGCCGCAGCAGCGGCAGCAGCAGCGAGCTTGGCAGGGTACGGGTCTCCCCCAGGCGCCGGCCTTCCAGGAGCTCCTGGGTGGGGTGGAGCAGGGAGAAGCATGGGAGTGGGGGGGGGATTCTACGATGCGACAGGATCGGGGCGGTATGGCGCAGGCATTCCCGGTGGGGGGTTTCCAGGGTCTGCAGGAGGAGGAGGGCTGGCAGGGATGGGCGCGGCAGTGGGGCTGGGAGGGCTGGGCGGCTTTGGAGGGCTGACTTTTGGTGCGGAGCAGGCTCTCATGCTCCGGGTGGAGGCCGCCGTGTGCCATGCCGGCCAGCTCTCCCTCTCTGATGCCTCTCCTCCCCTGGGATCCATGGCCGCTGCTGCTGTGACCCCTCCCACTGCCTCGCAGCTTGTTATCTGCCTCAGGGACCTTACCATTCCTCCCTGGTCCCCGGGATTGTATGCTACTTCTGCTGCTGTGCCTGGCGGTGGTGGGTTTGGCTCCTCTCCCACCCATCACCAGCAGTACCAGCACCAGCATCAGCAACATCATCACCATCATTATCAGCAGCAGCAGTTTGGATCGCCTGCACCAGCCGCTGCTCCTTCATCCCCCTTCTCCTTCTTCTCACCCTCCTCCCAACAGCAACAGCAGCAGCAGCAGCAGCAGCAGAGGGCATTCGGGTTTAGCACGCCTGTAGCAGCACCAGCGGGCATGGGCTCAGCCGCCAGCCCTTTTGCACCCCACGCAGCACCAGCAATGGGAGCAGCAGGAGCAGGCGCAGGTGGTGCATACGCGTCACCATCGGCGCATCCCCCTCGCGGTTTACGGGAAACCGTGTCCATCGTGCCCCTGGAGGGCCGTGTGCTCGCAATGGCGGAGCTCCTCCCCCCTCTCTTCCTCACTGCCGCCTTTGACGTTGCCTCAGCTCCTGTCCTGGGCGCTCTCCCCTCTACTGCTCTCACTGCTTCCTTCCCTGGTGCTCTCACTGCCTCTTCTGCTGCTGCAAATGGCTTCCTCCCGCCTGATTCCCCCTTTTCGGGGGCAGCAGGGCGAGGAGGTGGGGCGGGAGCGGGCGCAGGAGGAGACGGAGGGGGAGGGGCGTTGGGCTGGTTACTCTCCGGATCGCCAGAGAGAGCGCAAGGAGGGGGAGGGGGAGGGGGCGGAGGGTGGGGAGGATGGTTTGGAACCCCTGGGAAGGGAGGAGCAGGAAAGGGGGGGGCAGCAGGGGACGGAAGCAGCATGGGGGGCTTGCGGCTGAAGGAAGGAGGCGGGGAGGAGGAGCAGCTGGCGCGGGCGCGGCGGCTGTGGGCTCGGGGGATCCTGGCGACTCAACACATGCTTCCGCGGCGGTCCCTTGTGGTGCTAACAACCGTTGGGCTGGTGAATTTCGCAGTGAACCGCCCTGTGGATGTGCTCCGGCGCCTGCTGGAGCGGAACGCGCCGCGAGCAGCGGTGGAGAGCTTTTTCGTGCGGTACGGCAGCGCGGAGGCTGCTGCCATGTGCCTGCTGCTGGCGGCGGGGATCAGCCCGTGGAAGGAAGGCGCAGTGGCGGGCAATGGGGAGGAGAGTGCTGGTAGAGACATGATGGATGGGGAGGATGGTGGCGGCGCTGCTGGTCGGTGGGGCACTGGAGGAGGGGAGAGGCGACGTGGCAGGGTGGCAGGCGGGTGGGATGGGGGGATGGGAGGTGGTGACGGGAGGGGGAGAGCGGGGGTTGGTGGGATGGGGGGTGGGGGAGCAGGGGTGGGAGGGGGGGTGTCAGGGAGTGCATCAGCAGTGTCTGTGCTGGTAGCAGAGCGAGCAGCTCAGCTTCTAGACGACCCTCGCTTTGTGGGACTCCCTTCTCTTCAAACTCTTCCCTACGGCACTCCTCCTCCTCCTCCTCCTCCTGCTGCTGCTGCTGCTGCTGCTGCTCCGGGTGTTGCTCCCGGCCCTGCAGCAGCAGCAGGAGTGGCAGGAGCTCCAGGGGCCGCGTTTGGAGCAGCAGCAGGGCCAGCAGGGGCGGGAGCTTGGGCTTGGCCGTACGCCCCTTCCACCCCAGCTGCCCCCGGCACCCCTGCTGCTGCTGCTGGTGGTGGTGGTAGTTATGGCACAGCAGGGGCAGCAGCTCCCGGCTGGGCTGGGTTTGCAGGGAGGATGGGCATGGGGGCAGGATGGGGTAACGCAGCAGCAGCAGGAGCAGCAGGAGGAGCAGAAGTGCAGGTGGTATATTCCGGCGCGTTCCAAGGGCTGTCATTATGTGTGGCCAGGCTGCTAGGGCCTATATGGGACCTGCCTGTCCTCTCGTCGCCCTCGGGCTCTAATGTCGGAGCCGTTGCTGCTGCGGCTGCTGCTGGTGGGCACTCAGCTGGTAGTGCTGCTGCAGGGGCGTCTGGTGGTGGCAGTGCCAGTGGTGCTGCATCTGCTGCCCTCTACTGCAGGTCTGTTCTTGGCACTGTTCCTCACGCTGCTTTTGCACTCCTCCTGGCACTGCTCTTAGCACTGTATCTGCTTTCCTCAACCTCCATTCCCCATCACCATATTTCACACACCCCCCTCTTTCCTTCGTCCCTGCCCCCCCCTCTACACCCCTTTCCCCCCAATAAACCCTCCCGCACCCACGCACATCGTCTCCGCGGGTTCCCCTACTCATTTCCTTCTCCCACCCACCAAACACCCGTTTTCCTCCTCCCGCACGCGCCTGTCAATCCCCACCCCACCTCGTCTGCCTGCCCTGCCAGCCTACCATCGGAGGTGCTATTGCTATACGAGACCAAGACGAGGCTGCTCGAAGCCTTTCTGCGCTCGCGCCGGGACCACCGCCGCGGCCTCTACGCACGTGTCCTGGGCGCTGGTCTCCTGCCCGCCCTCCCCTCCTCCTCCTCCGCGCCCTCTGCTGCTGCTGCCGGCGCAGCGGGAGCAGGAGGGGGACAGGTGGGAGGAGGAGCTGCGTGGCATGGGACTGGGGAGCAGGAGAGGGGGCGTGCGGGCGGGGACAGAGGAATGGGGGTTGGAGGAGGAAGGGGAGGGGAAGCAGGAGGGGGAAGGGCAGGAATGGGTGGGTACCCGGAGGTGGGATCTGGGGGAGGGTGGATGTCTGAAGCAATGGACGCAGAGGGGGCGTTTTCCAAGAGGCAGAGGCTGGCTCCCACTGCCGCCCAGCTCGCCGCCCACGAGGTGAGCGAGTGGCTGGCATGGGCTGTCCTGTAGCTGAGCTGATGGTACAGTAGAAAAAGGAAGTGGGATTGGTGAGGAGGGAAAGAGATGGGGAACATAAGGCCTTACAAGCACAGCGTTACAGCATTTTCCTTCTCACCAGTTTCCATTGCCCCTTTTCTCTCTTCCTCTCGCCCCCTTCCCCGCTCGCCCCCTCCCCTGCGCCCTCCCCTGCGCGCTCCCCTGCGCCCTCTCCTCCCTTCATCCCCCCCAGGTGCGCGCCACGGAGGGCCTGCGGCGGCTGCTGCGGCGCACGGCGGAGGCGCTGAGGCTGCTGCACGTGCTGTCACAGCACCACGTGATGCGCCTCGTGCACGCGCTGCACCCCTCGTGGCACGCGCTGCTCGCCTCCCTCACCCTGCACCACCTCGTCTGCTCTCCCGCTGGGGACTCCGCTGCCTCCCAGCTCATCGCTGCTCTACTGCAGGTGCTGCTGGGGGTGGAGAGGGAGGAGAGGGGGAAGAGGGGGGAGAGGGGGGAGAGGGTAGGAGAGGGTGGCGAGGTGGGGACGGTGCAGAGGGGAGGGAATGTGAGTGGCAGCAGGGAAAAGAGGTTGTGTCGTGTCGTGGGACACACCGGGAATGTCTACTCATGCAATTGCTGGTCGAGACAGCAACGATTAGGAAGTTGGGCACTGTAACTCTCGTTCCACTCCTTTCCCTACCTCCGCTTGCTCGGCTTTTTAAGCCACCCCCCGCCCCCCTCCTCCACCTACTTCCCTCCATCCTTTCCCCTCCTCGCCCACCTGCAGTACTAAACTACGCCGAGTCCGAGGGAACTTTATGGGCCTTCGCTTCCCTTACTCACCACATGTTCTCCTCTCCTCTTCCCCCCCACCCTTCCAGTACTACACAACGCCCAGTGCGCGCGGGTCGATGGAGGACATGTGTGCGCGGCTGCGCACGGACTGCCCGTCGTTCTTCTCGGACGCGGATCAGACCTTCTTTGCCGCCGTGCAATGCCTTGAGTCCGCTCGTCAGGCTGCTGCCGCCGGTGATGCCGCCACGCGCACGCGCCTCGCCAGAGAGGCCATGGCGCTGCTCGCACGCGTGCCTGAGACTGCTGACCTGCTGTCTGTGTGCCAGCGCTTTGAAGACATCGGGTGAGTGGTGGTGCGGGCTGGGGACGGGGAAGGGGATAATGGGATGGGTACATGTGAAGCTTGAGGGTTTTGTGAGGGCCGAGGGAGAGATCTCTTGCCAGAGAGCCCCGTGGAGGGATCCTCTTATTGTAATGCCTAAGACATTATGTCTTGGCGGCTTGGCCGACTGGTAAATACTTTGTCATCACGCAACATCATGCTCCTCTCCCACCTCTTGTTGGCCCACTGTCCTCCCTTCTCCTACCTCCCCCCTCCTGCGTCCTGGTCTCCCCGTTCCAACATCCCTGTCTGTGTTGCCGTCACCAGGTTCTACCAAGCGGTGGTGGATCTGCCTCTGCGCAAGGCACGCGCGCTGGACCCCAACAACGACGCCACCAATGCCCGCCTCGACCCGGCTGTCCGAGCAGCCGCCATGCAGGCACGTTGCTCCCTCTCCTCCTCTGCCTCCTTTTTCTCCTTCAAGTCCCAACTTGGCACTATTTCTGCTCCTGCTTCTCCTCTTTTATCAGTCTTTTGTTTGTTTGCTTGATTATTTCCTTGCTTGTTTGCTGATTGCTGGTGCACTGCCACCTCTCATGCTCCCATGTCTCTCTGCGTATATGTGTCCCTCCATCCAATCATCTTTTGCCACTGTCTTTCCACGGTCCATTCGTCAAATGCATCATCCAACTTCCAACGTGCATGGATCTGAGGTGTCTCAAAAGTGCATCATCTCACCCGCACGGTTTATGGCATGGCAGGCGCGGCAGCAATGCTACGACGTGGTGGTGGCGGCAGTGCGCACGCTCAGTGGCCAGACTACAGGGGCCGGCGTGGCAGCGCGCCCTCAGTTTGGCGTGCCACGGTATGAGCGAGGGGAGGAGGAGAGAGGATGGGGTGGGTTGAGGTAAAGAGGAAGGAAGGGAGGGAAGAGGGCTCAAGAGATTAAAAGAGGTACAAAGAGGAGGAGGTAGGGGGTTAGGAGAGAAGATAGGTGAGAAGGAAGGAGAGAGAGGGGAGGAATGTGTGGACGTTTCTAAAATAGAGTTTCTTTCTGCTCATTCTATGCTCCTCTCCGAATCCCCTGTCTCTTCCTCCTCCCATTTGGCAGCCCACTGGGAGCAGCGGCACTGACAGAGGAGGAGAGGGAGCAGCAGCTGGTGGCGGTGGTGCGGCAGGCGGTGGCATGGGACGATGCGCTCTTCCACCGCCGCCTCTACGCCGCACTCATAGCCCTGGGGCTGGACTCGCTGCTCATCTCGCTCTCTGCTCCTGACGTTGAGGACTTTCTCCGCACGGCTGGGGCCAACGTGGAGCCCCCTGACGAGCAGGTGGGTGCTGCTGTGCTGTGGGTCCTTTCGGAAGCTTTCCTCCTGCCTTGCCTCCGGAACCCCGGTCTGACGCATTGGTCTAATGCTGTGTGGCTGATAGAAGCATCCTGCGGCCATGTGACAGTGTGCAATTCTTGATGTGTCAATCGTGCTGACCTGACCAGCACTGGTCAATCCGCCTCCATCCTGTTCCTCTGCCCCTCTCGTCCCTTCGGCCTTCCCCATCTCAAACGAATCCAACCCTCTTGTCTCCTTGCATCACTCCTCCAACCCCCTCCGCACCCCCCACTCCCCCTCATCTCTCCCCCACACCTCCCCCTTCCCCCTCCCCTCCCTCCCCCACAGCTGCATGTGCGGTACCTCTCGGTGCTAGCACGGTATTACATAGAGCGGCGGCAGCATGAGCTGGCAGCGCATGTGCTGCTGCGCCTCGCAGAGCGCCAGCAGGTGGACGGCGCCCAGCCAGGCCACCCGGGCTTCCTTTCCCTCGAGGAACGGTCAGTGCAAGCATGCGTGCAAGTGTGCGTGTGTGCAAGTATCGATGTATGCATTTCTGCATGTGTGCATATTGCATCTATCCATGGCATCGCTCCTCATGCCCCCCGTGTCTCATCTATAACATCCTCGCCGCTTCCCCTGTTTCCTCCCCTCCACCATCCATCAGGTGCAACCTCCTGAGTGCGGCAGTACTGCAAGCAGCAGCCATCAGCAGCAGCGGGGGCACGGGAGCAGGAGGGGGTGCAGGTGCAAGGGGCATGGGAGGGCGTGCAGCAGCAGGGGGCGGGGGTGAGAAGGAGGTGGCGCGGCTGCAGACAGTGCTCAAAGACAAGCTGGCGGTGCTGCAGTTCCAAATCCGCATTCGCGACCACCTGCTCGCTGTCGCCACCAGGTGAATGGGAGGGGGAGTAATAGAGAGAAGAAGGGAGTGAAAGTGGGAAAGAAAGCGAGAGAGAAACAGAGGGAGCATAGGAACCTTAGCCTGTCTACCGCGATAGCAATGTGTGTTAAGTATTGAGGCGCCCCCCCCTGTGTTTTACCAACCCGCCGTCTTGCAGGTTTGACGGCCAGCCTTCACCACAGCACGAGGCAGCAGCAACAGCAGCAGGAGCAGCAGCAGGGGGTGCCGGTGCAATGGAAGAAGGGGGAGACGGGGCTGCAGGTGCGGCAGGAGGAAACGGGGCCGGGGAGATGGAGGTGCGGCGGCGAGCGGAGGTGGCAGCAGCGGAGCTGCAGAGAGAAGTGCGGAGCATAACAGACCTGTACAACGACTATGCCGTGCCTTTCCAGCTGTGGGAGGTGCGTGCCAAAACCCTAAACCACCATCTCTCATGTTTGCTTGCACCCGTTCATACAGTGCCTTCTAGAAGAATCCACTCCTCATGCTCGTTGGTTGGTTGCAATCCCCCTGCCCTCCACAGGTCTGCCTGGAGATTCTCCGCTTCTCCAGCTATGCAAGTGACGGCAGCAACGGCGTGGAGCGTGCCATGTGGCGCAATCTCATCGAGCAAGGCCTGCAGCAGGGCGGCATTGCAGAGGCGTGCGAGCGAGTGCAGAGGGTGGGCTCCTCGCTCTCCATGCGTGGTGCTGCTGGCGGCGCTGCTGCTGCTGGTGCCGGTGGTGCTGGTGGCGGTGGTTCTGGAGGCAGTGGGGGCAGTCTTCCTCTGGAGTTCCTCTGCCTGCTGCTGGAGCAAGCAGCACAGGTGCGCTGCTGTGATGAGTCCAGGGTGGTTGGGGTGAGTGAGAAGAAGGGGGGGTGGGGGGAGAGAGTACAGGGAGGTTACGGCGGGTGTGGAAAGGAAGGAAAAAACTTCGGTTAGCGGGGTGAGGACGAAAAAGCAATTTTGCAATTTATGGATCCTGTTCATCATGCTCACTGCTCCACCCGTAACCCGTCTCTCCCCTGCCTGTGTCCCCCCTCCCCCTCCTTCTCACAATCAGGACCTGGAGGCGAGAGGCGAGTCCTCCCACGACGAGATCCCCCGCGCCCTCATCTCCGCTTGCGGCGGCGCATACGAGCCCGTGGCAGCAGCATACTCGCAGCTGCTCTCGCGTGCTGCCGGCCCACTCTGCCAGCCGTCCCTCCGCCTACGCCTGCTGCTCTCAGTCCTCGCTGTTCTCAAGCAGTGGGCTGCAGCGCTTGTCGATGCCGACGGGGGGCTGGGTGGGGATGGCGGTGGGCGGGGGAAAGCGGGAGGTGTGGACGGGAGTGAGTTCATGGCTATGGATGGGCCGCGCATGGGCGATGGGATGAGCGCACGTGCCTCCAGAGCCGTGCTTGTCAGCGCTTGCAGCCGGTACGACAACTCACGCTCCCGGGATTCGCTCCCTATCCTCTTCCTCCTCCCTCTCTGTTCATCTTCTCCCTCTCTTCTCCACACCTTGCCCCATCTCCTCTCCTATCCGCTCCCCCCATCACTCCCACCCTGTTTCCTGCTCTCACGTTCTGCCTACCTACCTGTGTGTGCGTGTGTGTGCGTGCCCATCCCAGGTACATGGGGGAGGTGCGGCGGCTACCGCTGCCCCAGGACACAGCAGAGCAGCTTATAGCAGAGTTGCGCCAGGTGGAGGCAGCAGTGCAGCGCCCCCTGCCCTTCTTCGGCTGATTCTTCACCACCACCGCCACTCACCCTGCTCTCGTCGTGGCCTGCTCTTGACTTTGATCAGCTTGTTACTCAACTGGTGCTTGGCTTGCTTTGTCGTGCTTTTGAGTCTGACTGTTGCTCGTTTTGCAGCGTGGCTGCACGCAAGCTGCTGTGCCGTGGAAGCGCGGCGGTGGGTTTATGAGTCCATTTTCTATACAGCTCTAACTGATCCTACTGTTCGTTGTGAAAAGTTGAAGCGTTTGCTGGCCTTACTGACGTTCAAAACAGCTGCTTGATTGTAGTACTGTTAGGTAGGTGCCTTTCTATACCACGGTGACATTCATTTGTCTCTGCTCCAATTGTCACCTAACTGTTTAGGTACTTGGATTTCATACGGTATGGTACAGTCTGATCAGGACCCTCCAGCTGCAGGATAGTGGGGTGCATTGTCATCGGGATGACAACAGCCCATAAATAGAACATACACTCATACCTCTCAGTTCAGGTCAGGGGGGTGCACGGGTCCAGCCATACAGACTGCCGGTACCGTTATCACCCGGATATAAGACAGTGTTGAATAGTAGACATGGGTTGTCTATTATACGGGTGTCTCTTATAAACAGGCTAGCCTTTTTATAAGACACCTATTTGTGTGTACTAGATAAGACATATGTTATGTGTCTTATAATCGAAACTGCAATGTATTATAGTGAAAATTGAAATACCGCGTACATTTTTACCCTCGCGACACGCGAATTCTGCCACGTGCTGACTCACATACTACCAAATTTGACTCTGCAAGTATTCGGGATGACGTGGCGTCCCGAACAGTGGTTGCCGAAGTGGCACCTTCGCAACATCTACACTCTTAATGAGAAACTCTTTTCAAGATGTGTGAAAATATTTCTAAGTAGTTTAAAAAAGTTTCCATTTATAAGACTTATAAGCCACCCACAACCTCCCCAAATACAAGACAACCCAAGCATTTTTTTTAGTGTATGAGATAAGACATATATGTCTTATATCCGGGCGATGACGGTAGTAATGACCCAGACACCTACAGCAACCTTCTGCACTTGTACTGTCTGCAGCACCGTCAAGTCCCCTGCCTGCAGCTGGCTGCTCTAAATATAAAATACCGCAATAATAATTAGGGTGCTGGCTTGGCAGTAAGCAACTTCTGCTGCTCAGTAACCAAGCCACCAGTGAGCACCACCGCGCCACTGAGGGCACTTTCAGCCACCAGGCTAGATAAATACCTACTCACAATGGCCCATGCCTACCGTGCCATCCCACCAACCCAACCTACCCCACCCCACCCCACCCCACCCCACCCTATCCCATCGCATCGCACTACTGCACGGTACGAAGGAAACCTTTGACCAAGCGTGCACAGTACACGCTCCAACGTGCCAGTGCCTCCCTCCCTCACCCAGCAGCATGCGAGACATTCGCCGTCAGCGGCTCCTCGTCATGCGTGCTGCCACTAACCGGCACGATCCCACTCCCTTCCCGCATCGTGCTCCCCGGCCCGCTACTCGGAGTCATATTAGAAATCCTATCCAACTCCTCATCCAGAGGCCGGTGCAGCTGCGACGCCGAGTGAATCTGCTCGTCGATATTTCGCGCCGCCCGGTTCACCTCCTGCCCGACAAACTCGTCCTTGAGCGCCTCGAGCTCGCTCGCAACCTTGCCCATGGTGGGACGGGAGGCGGTGGGCATGGTGGTGCAGGAGATGGCGAGCTCTGCGAGGCGCCGCACGAGGGCGTCGGGGGCTGCGATGCGCGGGTCGCAGATGTCTGCGATGCGGCTGCTTGCGAGCTTCTTGGCCGTCCACTCTTTGACGTTCACCTGCTGCCCACCCTCCAGCATGAACACTGCGTGCCGGTTGGTTAACAGCTCCAGGGCCAGCACGCCGAAACTGGTGGAGGGGAGGGAGGGGCGTACGTGGGGTGTGGAATGGGAAGTTGCGAGGGTGCCGGATGGGGGGAGAGGGGGGATTGGACAAATTGCTTATAGCTGAAGAAGGAAGATTGATGGCACAAGGATTCAACAGCAAAAAGGGGAGCAGAAGCGCGGCCAGCACTTGCCTGTGCACGTCAGCGGTGGTGGGGGCCTTCTGAGACTGAGAGTATGCAGGGTCCACATAGCCCGGTGTGCCCAGCACTCGCGTGGAGTGCAGCTGCGTACCCTCGCCCATCCTCACCAGCCCAAAGTCTGCTATCTTCGACTGACAGTGGCGGGCGATAGGATGTGACAAAACGAAACAAAACAAGACATGACATTGATAAGAGGAGTGGGTCAGATGATAAGAAAGAACAAGAGCGGGGACAAGAAAGAGAGTTGCAACGTCAGGGGGGAGGGGAGTGGGCACAGGGGGCCCTCCACATGCGCCAATGCTTTATCAGGCACCTCAAAAGCATTGTGGCTTACTAGCTGACGTCCAGTAGGAATAAAGGCTGGCTTGTTGTGCAGTTCAGTACAATCTCGCATGCACGAGGCAGCACAGCTCACCTGCATGTTGCTATCCAGCAGGATATTGGCGGGCTTGATGTCACGATGCACGATGCCAAAGCTGTGGAGATACTCCAACCCGCGCGCCACTCCGATGAGAATCTCCAACCGCTGCTTCAACGTCAACGGGTCCTCTGAACAATTGCAAGAGGAGGTGGGGGTTCAGGGAGGCGGGGAGGGAGAGAGGGATTTGCTGTTTAGCTCCTACTTTGAGCTCTTTTGTAAGCAAACACTCACCAGCAGCATTTGTCAGCATCCACCACAGCATACCTCCCACCACCACACAGCTAAGATATCACTACCCTCACCAAACACCACCCTTCACCACACACCACCCTTCACCGCGTCCCTCACCAGCATTGAGCCTCTTGGAGAGGTCCCCATTGACCATGAACTCGTAGATGACGATCTGCTCTATGTTCTCCGATGCCGCATCGCCGTCTATGCAGAACCCCAGCAGCCGCACCAGGTTCGGGTGGTGCTTTGTTGCCATCTCGTTTACCTGTTGGGAGCAGTGCAAGAGGGCACAGGGGCACAGGGGCACAGGGCGAAGGGCACAGCGCACAGGCGGTCAGCTTGTGCAGTTATTTGGATACTTCACAATGACTCTCGACAGCGAGCACACATAAGACAGCGGGCACGGCATGCAGCAAGGAGGCCACAACCAGCTACAGACACCCGGAAAGAGACCTAGAGTGGAAACAGAAGATGCCGCAGCTGCAGCGAGGGACGAAAGAGAGTTGAAGAGGGGCAGACGAGCCATTGTCATAAGCTTCCATCCAATCCTCTCACCTCTCGTCGGAAGTCGTTAGTGAGCACGCGGGCGCGCTTGACAGCCCAGGGAATGGCCGGGTTGTACGGGTCGACGCCGCGGTACACGTCCCCAAAGCCCCCGCTGCCGATCTTGTTGGCCGCTGCCCAGTCAGACGTGGCTCGAGTGACTTCTTCCAGGGAGTACTGCAGACACACCTGCGGCACCGCACTGCTGGGCGTGCGCATCGTTGATGCTGGTGTGGAAGAGAGGGGAACGGGGGGATCGGGGAGAGGATTTCTGAGGCACCTCAAACATTGGACGAGGCTCGTGTGACCTCTTCCAGAGAGTACTGCAGGCACACCTGCGGCACCGCACTGCTGGCCGTGCGCATCGTTGATGCTGGTGTGGGGACAAAAGGGGGATGCGGGATGGGGGACAGGGGATGGGGGAGGTTGGGATGGGGGATAGGGGGATGGGGGACGAGGGATGGGGGATGGGGAATGGGGATGGAAGACAGAGGATGGGATAGAGGGGAGATGATAACGCATTAAGACTTAACCACATTCACTCCTTTGTCTGAAGCAGAGGTTCTCATTACAACCCCCGTCTCTGCCCTCACATTGACCTCCATAACCATCTTTCGCCAACCCCCTCACACACACACACAACCCCCCTGGTCAGGCAGAGAGACTCACCTCCTCGTGACTTCTTGGTCCTAAAGAGGGCGATGAGAACAAAGCCCAAGCAGCCACAGCCCAGCACGGCCACCGCTGCTGCCACCGATATCCCCACCACCGCTCCTGCTGACAACCCCGCAGCCGCCTCAGGCACAGGAGGTGGGGGTGGCGAGGGCGGAGGGGGCGCGGGGGGAGGAGACGGAGAGGGAGGGGGGGGAGAGGGAGGGAGAGGTGGAGGGGGAGGAGAGAGGGAAGGGGGAGGCGGAGGAGGGGGTGCAATTGGTGGAGGTGGAGGGTAGGTAGGTGGGGGAGGGTGTTTGGAGAGGCAGCCGGAGCAGAAGCCACCGCACTGCTTGCAGAAGGTGCTGAGAGGGTTCTGCTGCGTGGCACAGTCGTTCTGTGGGTAGCTGGGACACTTGATCAGCGCCAAGTCGTACGTGCTGGCGTGGCGTGGGGTGACATGTGTGCGGTGTGTGTGTGGACACACCATGACCGGGGGAGGTGGAGAGGTGGCAAGGCACACGGGATGAAAGAAAAGGGGGAAGGGGGAGAAACAAGGGGGGGAGAGGGAGAAGGGGAGGAGAAACACATGAAGCATCGTCTAGGATGGGAGGAAGTGAGGAGGGGAGGAAGTGAAGGAGACAGGGATATGGAAGGAAGGAGGGAGAAAGGGACACATGCGATGAGAGCGTATGGGAGAGAAAGAAGGACGCAGGTGATGCCGATGTGTGTGTGCAAACACGTTACACGCATCAGTAGGTTTCACTTGATATTGAGAATCATCAGCGATGTGAAGTGAACCATAGCAGAGCGCCGCAGCCAGAGGCATTGAGGTGGTTTTTTAGGCGCCTCAAAAACCACCTGAGTGAGCCATAGAACAGTGGCGCAGCCAGAGGCAGTGCGAGTCATACGGGAGAAAAGGGGGATGGCACTCGGACAGTGACAGATAGTGGGGCGACAAGTGGGGAACGGCAAAGGCGGGATGGACAGGAAGAAGAGATGTCTCTGGGGTGATGAGGGAAAATGAGCATCGGTGGGACATAAAGGAAAGTGCAGGGAGGGTGACGGGGGTGAGGGAAGGGCGAGGCGGCACGCACAGGTTGTTGAGGGCGGTGAGAGCGCCCAGGCCAGGGGGGAGAATCCCCGTGATGCTGTTCCTCGAGATGTCTCTGGGGGCAGGAGGTTAGCACGCCAAAGAGACATGGCCACACAGGGGGGTGGCGGCACAAGGGCACATGGGGGACACAGGCGCAGGGGCACAGGGGGGCAGGGTGGCAGGCACACAGGGGGACAGGGGCACAGGGGGGCAGGCACGCAGGGGGTTGGCGGCACAAGGGCACAGGGGGACAGGGGCACAGGGGGACAGGGGCAGAGTATGGGCCCAGCGCATGGCGGAGATGGCGAGAAGAGTCGATGGATAGAAGGAAGAAAGGGTGGGGGAGGGGAAGGTGCGCAGGAACGGAGGTAGGGGAGGGAAAGGAGGAGAGGAGGAGTGCATCACGCCATGTGAATGCATGCATGCATGCATTATGCATTATGCATACATGGTGTTGAGACTTTTGAGCAGGCTGAGGGAGTCCGGCACACTGCTTGAGAGCTTGTTGACCGCCACCACTCTGAGAGAGATGCACATGCACCGGACGAGCAAGAGCCGCAGGCAGAGAGCAAAGCAGACAGGGGAGGCAGCCAGGGAGAGAAAGGGGGGGGTAGGTGGAGTGGAAAGGATCAAGGGGCAAAGAGGGAAGGAGTTGGAGAAAGAGTTAGCGGGATAGAGACAGGTGGGTGGAGAGTAGAATACATCCGATGTTCCATTATCAGAATACCGTGCATGGGGTAGCAAGAAGAGCACAAGGGAGCACAAGAGGACAAGTATGTGCGAGAAACATTGCAAGAATGAAAGAGAGACAAGGTATCAATCCGGAATAATGCGGCAGGTCTAAAATATAATATATACAAGTTAGAGATAATGCAAGGGGAAAAGGAGTGAATGCGGCGCATCAAATAACAGGACTGGGGTGGCAAGATTGCGAGGTGTAGAGGTGCTTTCAAAAGCCAAATGAACCAGATTTCCAAAGAGTCTGCTTTTGAGGTTGCTAGTACAGAAAAAAACAGATAAGATTAGAACAGGAGCATGATGGAAAAAAATACATTGATGAGCCGAGGAATACAGTACTGGGGACAAGGATGGAGCAAGGATGGGGGCATGGATGGGAGCAGAGCAGGGATGGGCGAAACAAGAGAACGAGAGTGGAGTGGAGTGGAAGAGAGCGGGCACTGACAGACTAGTGAGAGAGTCGCTGATGTTGGGCGGAATGGGGCCCACCAGCTTGTTGAAGCTCAGGTCCCTGCAGAAAAGCAGTGGAAAAAAGGGGAGACGGGGAGCAGGGGAATAGGACTAGTTTTGAGGCGCCTCAAAACTAGGCTGACCAGCTTGTTGAAGCTCAGGTCCCTGCAGAAAGGCGGCGGAAAAGGGGGAGCCAGGGAGCAGGGGGATAAGGCAGGGGGGCGGAGGAGTGGAAGGGGGGAGTTGAAGAGGAGGAAACAGCATGGGGGGGAGGAGAAAGCATGGAAGAACGACACAAAGAAGAGCGGCTGTTGTTGTGGTGGGGATGTGGGAGGGGTGTGGTGCGGGGACGAGAAGAGGGGTTGCCTCCAGGTGCAGTGCAGACATGCGGCACGACAGTAGTAGGGAGGTGCTGGGTGCTTTTCAGAATTCTCGAAAAATACCCAGTGGTAGGGAGGTGGCATGCATGAGAGTGCTACAGAATGGTGAATCTCAAGGCGCTAATATTTGCAGAAATGGTGTGCGTACCTCCTGGTGTGGGCATGCGGCATGACAGCACTACAGAGGGAATGCAAGGAGGGAGAGCGAGGAGGAATGGAGAGGAAAAGAAGAAGAACAAAAAAAAAACGGAGGGAGGGATAAGAGGGTGTGTGCTGACAGGGATTCCAAGAATCTGAGCTTTGTGATGGTTGCCGGAATGCCTCCTGTCAGACTGTTGCCGTGAAGATCTCTGCTCGTGCACGGATGGATGGAAGGAAGGGGAAGGGTGGTTTTCCTGTGTATCCAAGAGTCGCCCTTCATCATTCGAGTGTGTGTCGAGGTCGTTGAGGAAGAAAATTACTGGATGGAGGAAAGGCGTGAGTGCGTGCGTGCATGTGTGTGTATGCATGTGTTGCTGTGTACACTCCCATATGGGATGGGAGATGGGAGATGGGAGGAAGGCGAGGAGGAGAGTAACTGACAGAGCGACGAGGGCTCCAATGTCCCCCAGGCTGGCAGGGATTGGTCCTGTGAGATTGTTGCTGTGTGCGTCCCTGATGATGGTGTCACTCGGGAGGGAAAGCGAGGTGAGGTGAGACGGCAGCAGAGCAGATTGGGTGAGGTGAAGTGATTCATCACACAGCGCAGGTCAGGTATGCGAGGAAGAGCAGTTGGATCGGTAAGATGGGTAGAGGGAGCGTGTGCAGTGCACAGATATGAGGGATGGTGGGGCGTGTTGGATGGTTGGGTATGGTGAGGCATGTCGAGATGACAGATGACGAGGGACAAGGCAGCGGGCACTTCATGCATTCACCGCTGCTTGGGCTATGGATTGGATTGCACAGCCCAGCCAAGCACGCCCCAAGAAGGACGGACGATCAATCGACAAACCAATCTCAAGGCTCCCGAGATGCCCATGCTCGCTCGCAATCAATCAATCTGAAGCTCGCAATGCTTGCGATAAGATTCGTCACGCAGCTAGTAATCACATGGAGGGTGGTGCATGGTGCATTGTGCTTGGTGCATGGTGCTTGTCGCATTGTGCACGGTGCACAATGCAGCAAAGGCAAGGTGCGGAATGGAAGATTGCTCACAGAGTAATGAGAGAGGTGAGAGACCCCAACGCGGGAGGGATACCACCCCCAATGCTGTTGCTGAATACATAGCTGCACCCACACGGACATTGGGGTTCGACAAGGGGCGAAGAAGGGAGAGGAGTGGGATGGGGATGCGGGATGGGGGATGGGGGGAGGGTGCGGGAGGGTGGGGGAGGAAGGCAGGCACAGAATTATGGGGGTGAGAGATGATATTAGATGGGAGGTTAGTTGTTGGTGCAGAGAGGAGGATACATGAGGGTGATGAACGTGGAGGAAAGGGGCAAGGCGTGGGGAAGAAACAAGTAATAGTCACTCCACACACCAGGGCTACGACTGGCAGAGATGGGTGGGGGCATGAGTGGTGGCATGGCAGGAGGGGTGCTTTTGGTTCAAAAAGGGGAAAAGTTGCGCGATGAATGGAAGAAACGGAGGGCGGCGGAGGGCTCACAGTCCTGTGAGATCCGTGAGCAAGCCAAGGGTGCGAGGCAACCCGCCTGTAAGCCTGTTTAAGGACACGTTCCTGGTGCCGGGAAGGAGGGTTTCGGGTTTAGAGGCGGAGGGGGGAGAGGAGGAGGGGGGGGGGGGGGGGGGGGGGATATGTTGGGTCTGTGGAGGAGAGAATATGCAAGGCTGGTGTGAACCTTAGATGAGTGCGTGGCCTGCATGTGGTTGTTGTTGCAGAGGTGCTACTGAGGAACTGCATGCATGCATGTCCCACCTTGTGAATACGAACACAAGAGGAACCAGAACTTGTGTGGAGAGATTCATGCATGTATACATGAATGCGTGCGTGGTAAACACCGCGGTCCCATGTCTGGATGGGACATGGACGGACGGACGGACGGACGGACGGATCATGGATGGATGCATGCACATGCGCGTGCATGCTGTGACACAAAGACAGTGAGGAATTCAGTAATAGGAGAGGCTGGGACTTACAGGCGCTGGAGATTATGCAGCTGGCCAATGCCCGCAGGGATAGGGCCTATCAGCTGGTTGCCCTGCAGCGATCTGTCAGAGGGGGTTGAAGAGCAGCATGGTTGGGAAGCATAGTAGCGGCTCGCAATGGATGAGAAGCACAATGGGAATTGCTGGGATGATGGACAGAGCGAATGAGGGTTATGGGGTTGGAGGGTGATGCATGCAAACAGAGAATAGGACCGTTGCTCATGGCTCTGATGGCGCAAGGACAAGAACGACTACCATCGCTTGTATGACTGTTTAACTGTTTCAATCTGTATGTCTTGATGCAGATGTTACCACAAAATGCTCCAGGTGTGTGCGTGTGCATGTGCGTGTGTGTGACTGCAACGCGAGCATGCATACATGCATGCATGCATACAGGCTCTCGAGGTTCTCGAGGCTGGACACGCTCAAAGGAATACTGCCCGTCAGGTTGTTCTTCGCAAGTTCTCTGTGGTGTGTTGCGAGAGACGGAGAAGCAAGGGAGGAGATGAGTTTCTGAACCGAGCACCCACATCACAAGGCAGGCATCCTGCTTATAAAAAAAACGACACGGATTAGAGATGAGCAGTGGTTGCATAACATAGAGCAGAGAGAAGTGAGAGCGGAGGGGACTGACAGTAGAGTGAGGGCGTTGAGGTTCCCGATAGTCCATGGAATGGCACCCCTTAGCTGGTTTCCTGACAGTTTACTGTTGCAAGAGAGCAAGAGGAATCGTGGAGCAGGAAAAAAGCTTGGTTAGAGAGGAGGAAAAACGATGGAGGAACAGAGGAGGGAGGGAGGAGTGCAATAGTGGGTCAGGCTGTGGGGGGGGGAAGAAACAGGGGCATTGGTGGACCAGAAGAAAGCAACCGAACGGACGGATGGATGGATGGATGGACGGACGGGTGGATGGATGGATGGATGGATGGATGGATGGATGGATGGATGGATGGATGGATGGATGGATGGATGGATGGATGGATGGATGGATGGATGGATGGATGGATGGATGGATGGATGGATGGATGGATGGATGGATGGATGGATGGATGGATGGATGGATGGATGGATGGATGGATGGATGGATGGATGGATGGATGGATGGATGGATGGATGGATGGATGGATGGATGGATGGATGGATGGATGGATGGATGGATGGATGGATGGATGGATGGATGGATGGATGGATGGATGGATGGATGGATGGATGGATGGATGGATGGATGGATGGATGGATGGATGGATGGATGGATGGATGGATGGATGGATGGATGGATGGATGGATGGATGGATGGATGGATGGATGGATGGATGGATGGATGGATGGATGGATGGATGGATGGATGGATGGATGGATGGATGGATGGATGGATGGATGGATGGATGGATGGATGGATGGATGGATGGATGGATGGATGGATGGATGGATGGATGGATGGATGGATGGATGGATGGATGGATGGATGCTCACAGCTCTTCTAGGCTCGCAAGGCTGACAGTGGAGGTGGGGATGCCTCCTGTTAAATTATTCATCTCGAGCTTTCTGGCATGAAGGTAAAAAGGGGAGGGAAGGGGAAAGGGGGGGAAAGGGGGGGACAGGGTGGGGGGGGATGAGGGGGGGACGGTGTGTGTAGTGTGTGTGTGCTCGCAATAAAACCATAAAAACACGCAACGGCACTCAACCACCCCTCCTCCCACTTCCTCTCTCCCCCCCCGGGCCCTCCACACACACAGAGTAGGAGAAGCGGCTGGCAGCAAGGAGATTGCATGATTGAGAAGCATAGGAAAAATAAGGCTCATAGCCATAACATGCTCATTCATGAGTAAGTGCCAGTGCATGCCATCATCTTCCACACACAGACAGACCAGCAGCCTGCCTGTCCCGTCCTATCCTATCCCATCCCATCCCATCCCATCCCATCCCATCCCATCCCATCCCATCCCATCCCATCCCTTGCCAGGACGCGGCAGCAAGACGACAGCAAGAAGGAGCGTACAAAGAAATGAGAAGCGATAGCTGGCCTATTTGCCGGGGGATGCCTCCTGTTAGATGGTTCTTGGATAGGTCTCTGGTGCACGTGGAGCATGCGCGAGGGAAGGAGCAAGAGATGGAGGGGGGCAGCCAAGGTGAGAGGAGGGAGATGCAAAAAGATTGATACAGAACAGCAGAGTGTGGGAACAGAGGTGACTGGAGATGGAGGGACGGGGGAACCAGGTGGGAGAGATGGAGAGAGATAAGGGCGACATGGGGTAGAGGGGGTGACAAAAAGGGGATAGAGGCAGAGGGCGGACGGAAGAAACAGCACACGAATAGCGTTGGGGGACTAAAACGCTCAGCCTGAAAGTGAGGAGTAGAGAGCAAGAAAATAGCTGCAATGAGGAGTGAAGGTCAGGAGGAACATTCTGTTGTGTTCATTGGTTCGATCGTACAGGAAAGGAGAGTATAGTCCCTTTGGGCGGTGAGAAGATACGACATGAAGAGCATGCAGAGTGTGTGTGGTGGTGTGGTGGCGTGGGAGGTTGGTGGAAAGATGAGGCGAGATGTACAGGTATATTAGGCCAGTGATGCGGGTTATGGTGGGTGGTATGGATCCTGTAAAATTGTTGTCGTTCAGCTGGCTGTACAAACGAACACGCAAAGAAACAACAAACAGACAGCCAAAGAGGAGAGAGAGAGAGAGAGAGAGAGAGAGAGAGAGAGAGAGAGAGAGAGAGAGAGAGAGAGAGAGAGAGAGAGAGAGTGTGTCATGGAAGCAACCAAGGAGGCAGGGAAGGTGAGATGAATGAATCAAGCAAGCACTAAGAACTGATGTGCAACTGACGCACGCGGCACCACAGTTCACAGGAGCGGCACGTGCCAGAGGGGAGAGGAAAGCGCTGGGTTGGAGCAACGTCACTCATAAACAACACCTGATCCTTCTCAATCAAAAAAAAAAAAAAAAAAACAACAACAACAACAACAAAACAAAACAAAACAAAAACAAAAAGAAAAGAAAAGAAAAAAACAAAAAGCAAAAACAATTCAACAAATCATGGGAGGACTGCACACGTACAGGGACTTAAGGCGCGCAAGCAGGCCTATGGTGGTGGGAATGGTGCCTGTGAGGTTCGCACCAGTGAGAAAGCTGATGGGGCCACAGGGGGAAGGGGAGAAGGAGGGCAGGCGGGAAGGTTCCAACGGACATGGCAGTGAGAGGGAAGTGGCACGTATAGAGAGAGGCGATGGCAGTTGGAATGAAATGAGATGTTAGGCTGCAGCGAGTGTGAAACTGACGAGCTAGAAAGGAAGAAGAGAGATCACGTGCAAGCAAGGAGTTACGGATAGATTTGAGAGTGGCGTGACAGGGTGGGTGGTGTGGTCAAAAGTTTTACAAACAAGACAAGAAAATGTAAGGGCGTGTGTGTAGTCTATACATGGGCAAACGAGTCGAGTTTTTACTAGACTCGTTTGAAGTACTCGAAAATAACGAGTTTCGAGTTCTGATTTTGGTAAAAAAAGCTCGTGAAAACGAGTCGATTTTTACTCGCGAGTTTAAAAAAACTCGTGAAAAACTCGGCTAGACAGGCGAGTTACCCATAACTCGCGAGTTTTTTTTCACTCACGAGTTTTGTTTAACCTAGACGAGTTTTAAAAAACTCGTGCATCAAATGGTCCACCACGGGGGGGTACAAATGTCTGTTTCTGGGTTAATATGCTGCTGGAGGTGTGGCTCGCTGTTTTGGATGTGTTCCACCACTTAATTGTGAACACTAGTGCAGCTGGCGTGGCGGTGAGTAGCTTTTTTGGAAAGTGAAAGGGGGGAGGAGAGGTGGGGCTGGCTGGGTCGTTTGTGGGTGTTGACGCATGTGGCAGTTTTCTGGGCACCCTACAACTGTTTTCGTGTGGCTGGGGTTTTAGGTTAGGGTAGTGTTTAACTTCGAGTCGAGTTTTACTTGACTCGGACGAGTTTTTTTATGGCTCATCCGAGTTTTCAAAAAACTCGACTTTGGGGCCGAGTTTCGAGTCAGCATTTTGACCAAAAAAACTCGACGAGTAAAACTCGACTCGACTCATCAAAGGGAAAAAACTCGTCAAAACGAGTCAAGTAAAACTCGACTCGCCATTTGCCCATGTATAGTGTAGTCTGTATGTATAGCCCCTCTGTAAAAACAACCTCAGTCACGAAGTTCATAAATTGTTGTGTGCAGACAAGCAGACAGCGACGATGCAAATCATGAAAATGGATGATGGATGATGCGGCATTTCCAGTGGCAGTGCCACGCATTGCACTCACAGGTCGTTGATTTGAACGAGTCTCCCAATGGAGGCTGGCAGAGGGCCGCCAAGGAAGTATCCTTCCGGAAATCTCCTGTGCGCCCACACAACACACACCCTCAAACAACAGCGCACAGAGTCTCGGACACAACAAGCAGAGGACTGTCACAAGAGAACTATCATGCGTATGGCATGGGGTGAGGGAGGGAATGTAAAGGGGCGGATTACGGGAGGATGGAAGGACGAGAAGTGAAAAATAGGGTGAATGGAATTGAGGGAAAGCATCGGTGGGCGGAGAGCGAGCAAAAACGAGTTGGCGATGGGGAAGAGGATGGGAGGAGGACAGAAGAAGGAAAAACACGTCATACGGCAGGGACCATTCTATCTAGCAAGAGCGCTTCCCCCGTCCTAATCCAACTCCAAACCCCTGCCATGCCACGGATACTCACATGGACGTGACCATGCCGTTGTCGTCGCACGTGAGGTGCGATGCGTTGTTGCAGTCCGACCCAGCAGCCCAGTCGGTGAAATTCTGCTTCCACACCTTCTGGCACTCCTGCAGCGTCGGCACTGCATCATGCACAGCACAGCGAGCGAGGACCGTAGAAAGGCAAACTCAACCTGACAATCAAGGCATCTCTGTGGCCCGCCCAGGCCTGCTTTGTATCTGACTGAGTCCATGCAGTTCGGGCGTGTAATGTGTGTCCATTAGTGACCTTTTTGGATCCAGAGGGTCTTAGAAGCTTGTCAGCACCAACAGATGAAGCTAATTGTATGCAAATTTTGTTGTGAAAAAAGTAATAGTTTCGTACTCGGCTTTTAAAGTAAGGATGGTTGACAACGTACCAGTACCCGCTATAACAGGTAACTGTTTCCCATCGTTTCTCCCCCCACACATCCCGATCCCCCTCCCATTTCCCCCACCACTTTCCCCCTTCCCATTCCGATCTCTTTTAGTTGCTCACATTGGGAGGTAGCCCAGGTCGTGGCGGCAACCATGAGGGGGGAGAAGTGAGCCGAGAGGAGCGAGCGGAGCAGACATGCGCGCAACAACGCGCACGCTGCAGCTGTGACGAGGGCGGGGAGACGCGGGTAACCGCGGAAAAACCGCATCGCGTCGAGCTGACGAGTCGCGGGGATATTTTTAGCGGGGATGTTTGAACAAGGGCGGACTGACGGCGGCTGAAATTACTTTCTGGATAAGAAACATATCCGAACGTACGATAGGAGCAACGCGGAGGAACTGAGATCAAAGCCCTTTTCGTATTCTTGAGACGTTTCTTGAGCTAATACGGAAAGCTCTGGAGATAAATTGAGGAGGAGAGTAGGCTATTCTGCAGCGTGGTTATAATGCTATTGTGAGAACGGTTGTGTTAATACATGAGACGTGGTGCACGGACATGGCTAAATGGGTGGACGTGAAGGCGCGGCGCGCGAGGCTGCGCGAAAAGCTGGACCATGATAGTCTCAATTTTCCACCCGAGTCGAAAAAGTTTGCGCGTGGTAGGACGGACGGCAGGACAACCAAGAAAGGGACGAGGGAGGGAACTAGACCAAGATTGTCGCGTACGGTAAACGGAGGTATCAATGGGCAGACTCGGAAACAAGTCGCCTATCTAATTTAATCGTGCAAGACTCCACCTGATACACACTCCGTGCGACACCACACCAGCCTAATTCCACTAGAGAACAGGGTCGAAAAGCAGCAGCGAGTCGCTCGCTAGTAACTGGATAATGGATAATGTCGCATTTTCAGCCTTCCCCTACGAACAGCCAATGTGGTTGCTGCAACCACTGCCAGCAAAGTGGTATGAAAGCTACTAAGATGGTCAACGGAAATTTCCGTCCATGCGTTCCCCTCGCTACAACTCCAATCCCATCTCATCTTATCCCATCCCATCTCATTTCATCCCTGAATTGTCCAAATCAACGCCTTCTGCTGCTGTTGCTGTCTTTAGTGAGGCAAGGAGAGTCATTTTTTCAGAAACATGCACCGTTTTTGCCAAGACAGGGGACAAAGTGGTGCCGCGCTCTGGCTTGGCGGGGGGACAAAGTCCGGGTCTGGGGGCCGGGGGTGCCCAGCAAGTGCGCCTGATGATAAGGGCGTGTGTCCTTCGGCAACTTTTGTAAAGTTTGATTTTAAACTCGACTTTTCTCACTTTGAACTTGGTTCGAACTGTAGTCGAATTTTACAACCGCCCATGGTCTAGCCGAGAGTCACCTTTCAAGGCAATCACATGTCACATCGAAGGATCGATCATGAAAAGTCGACTTTTACAACCAAGCTCGCGTCGCGCATACGACTCGTAGGTTACCCTGTTTGCCATCTTGACCGTGCGCCACGTCTGAATCGATGGCGCACCGTGAAAGCTGCGTATGATTCGATAGCGCGCACGATGGAATTCGTCAGTGTCGCCAGTTTCGCTGCAGCTGCAAACGTGGGCAGAAGGACACACGTTTGCATGAATGCGCGAGCGCATGTTCGAACGGAAACTCGACTCTAGTTCAGTGTCCATGTTTGGTTCCATCTTTCTTACCTGTTTTAACGAAATTTGCAACCAAGCATGGCGAAATTAACGAAAAAGGTTACCATCAAAAGTTCGAACTTGTTTTCGAACTCAGCCCGCCAAGGACACACGCCCTAAGTGCGACTTGTTTTACAGCGGTGGGCAGAAGCTGGAGGCCTCCACCGGTCTGGAACGCATAAAAACCGACAACACCGTGCACTTATATAACTGTAATTTGAATGTGCGAATTTTCCCTAGCCAGATGACCCCCATGGTTTCGTTGAGTGGAGGACACTGGCTCGCAACGCAATGCAGGCAATATTACTGTACCTGGTTATGCACCTACCACCCTATTGCGAATACAGTACACATTGCGTGGTTTATTTTGCTATAAGGAATTGGTGACTGATGTACTAGAAGAACTTTGAAGGCTCGTGGATTTGTGGCTGGTATGGTAATTGCCACTCCGGCAGCAAGCTAATCGAGGGGAAACAGAGCAGGAAGAAACTCGGAAAAAGTCGGGACTAGAGGCTCCAGCATGACCAACTAATAAATGAGGGTGCCGATGCTGAGGTTGGGTCTCTGTGTGGTGGTATACACACACCAAGTCTGCTCTGGGGCAATCAAATCCAGCACCCTACAGAAAGGATTCACTTGCAACACAATGCAACCGTTAGAAAGAATGACAAGTCAACGCATGGCTCACCTCCCTTGCCCTGCACTGTCCAAACAACCAGCAGTTGCTGAAGTGCGCACGAAGTAATGCTAAAAAAAAATAAGCTGGAGTGCTGATCAGCCCATTCAGGCCTTTCATGTCCCAGCCTGCCGAATCAATCCACCACTATGTTCCTCGACAGTCAGGTGGTGGTATGGTACTCTCAGACTTTCCCCCTCAAATATTTAAAGAGCAAATATGCTCACTGCCGCCCACTTAGCTGCCAGTACCGGTACTTGATGGCTGCAACCAGCATCATAAACATGTCTTCATAATACGGTACCACCTGCAACACCGGCAGCCGCAGCAGCAGGCGCAGTGGCAGGAGTAGCCATGGCTTCAGCCTTAGCAGCAGCCTCAGCAGCTTCCTTGGCGAGCCTCACCCTCCACTTGTTCAGCTGGAAAACCCTCCAGAACCCGCCATCCTCATTCCGTTCAATCCGCTCAAACTCAAACGACCCCTTGGTGCGGCGCGACGACACCGCCAGCCACTTGGACTCCTCCGTTGGATGCAGCTCCACCGCCTCCAACACAGGCACCTCTCCTTTCCGCCCACGACTGTTCGCCCCGCCATTGCCGTCCCCCACACGGCCCTCGGCAACGAGTCTGATACTCCTGCCGTTGACAGCATCGCACACTATACCAATGGGTGCTCGCAAGTCGGGGTCGTACTGAAGGATCTGATTCGCGTGGACTGCCAGTACTGTCTCGCCCATCTGCAGCCACCGCACTGTACCGGCCCCACTTATGCTGCTGCTCACATTACTGCTGGTGCTTGTGCTTGTGTTGGTGTTGCGACGCTTGGCAGGAGAACCCAGAACCATCCCTGCTGCTCCTGCTCCTGCTGCTGCACCAGCACCTTCTGCTGCATCTTCTCCTCCTGCTGCTGCTGCTGCTGTTGCTCCGTTCGCCCGGCCCCAACCTCCCACGCTCCCTCTAGCGAACGGCGGGAACTGGTCCTGGTCTCTTGCCGCCAGATCAGCCGGCATAATCGGGCTGAACGCGCCTCCTGCTGCGCACGCGCTCATGCCAGACAGTGTGGAGCACCACAGGCGCTGCGGAGGGATCCCCCGCGCCTCGTTCTCGTACACGTGGCGCACGTCCGTGCGCACCTCCCCCGCGGAGTGGTCCAGCGTCAGCAGGTGGTAACCCGATTTCGTCGCGCGCAGCACGCGCGAGTGCCGCCGGCCGTCGCGGTGACAGCTGCCCATGACTCCGGTTTGGACGAACAGGCAGGACGAGACGCGCGAGAGGGAGCCCTCGTAGTCGTGCGAGAGATGGAAATGGCCCGAGAACCACAGCTTTATGCAGGAATGGGAGCGTACTAACTCTAGGAACTTGCGTGACGTGGAGGGACAGGAGTGGTTGAGCCACGCGCAGCGATTGCGCACGTGGACTTCCTGCAGGCTCGTCAGCCCGCATCCCATTGGCGGAGCGTGCGTGAACACAAACACGGGCCGGTCTCTCCCTTCCGCCTCCACCGCCGCCAATTGCGCCGTCATCCACGCGACCTGCTCGTCATCTATAAACACCTCGTGGCAGCTATCTGGCGCGTCCCTAAACCGCACAGTCGACAACCCTAAGCACACGCCCGCGTCGCCTAGATCGCGCCGCCAGTAATGCTCCTGCCCGAACGCGTCCTTCCACGCGAGCAAATTCCGCTCGTCGGATTCGAACTCGGAACCTTCCAGGTCGTGGTTTCCAGTGACGGACAAGCGCGGGAGGCGGAAGGAGTCGAGGAAAGAGACGGCGGAGCGGAAGCACTCCGCGGATCCGGGCTTGTTGCTGTACCCGCCGACGTCCCCCAGTTGAATCAGCAGCGCCGGCGGGGCCGCTGCTGGAGCGTCGCTCTCGCGCGCGCTCTTGCCGTTGCTGTTACTACTGCCTTTCGCGCTTTCCCCGTTGGTAACACTGCTGGTGGTTTCACCCCCGGCGGCGGTTCTGCCGTTTTCTGTGCAAATCGAAGGGTCCGTGGCAAGGTTTTCCTGATCGCCAGCGAGCAGCCGTACGATCTGATCGCGCGCCTCGTGGAACAGGGTCATCTGGCCCGGCTCCAAATGCAGATCGCCCATCACTACGATCGTCACCGCGTCGTCGCCTCCGCCGCCGCCGCCGCCGCCGGGCGACACCATTGGCTGGCCGGTTGTTGCGGGCGACGCGTCAGCAGCGCCTGGCCACCAGCGGGAGGAGAGGCCCGTTGAGAGTCCCGTAGGCGGGTCCCCCGCTGTAGCGGCCGAGAATTCGCCGTGAGTTGCGGCCGTAACGCTGGTTGGTGGATGTAAAGCTCCGTCGGCGGCAACAAACTGGCCCCCGATTCCCATGTCGCCTCCCGGCTTTCCCGGTCTGATGCTGCCACTAGCCGTGTCGAAAGACGCAACGGGTGTGCCAGTTACAAAATCCGCGACGGATAAGGAGCGGCGACGAGCGAACGAGCGAGGCCGTGGAAAGGGCACACTGAGCGGGCGGATCGCGGGACGAAACCCAGCGGGTGACGGCAGCGGTACACCCAGGCGAGTACGCGGGTAAACCGCTGCAGCAGACGTCGCAGCTGCTATAACCATGGCTTTTGAATGGACGACAAAGAGTGTTTAGGCCGCGCAAGAGAAGAGTGGCAGGTGAGGCAGAAAGGAGCAGCTTTTCCAGGACGATGGGGAGAAGGCAAGGGGGACCACCGACTCCACTCTCCTGCCTGCTGGTTTGTGTGGCTGGCGCGAGCTGAGAGGAATAGAAGCGCGGCTGCACTTCGTACGCGTTCCTGGTCTATCGTCGGGATGCAAATAGAGAGTATAGTGCTCCTTTTACTGTGGTCTCATCACTCGATCATTTTATATGGTAACATATGTACTGTTTTACTTGTGAGACGCTGTAGTTTAGTGCAACTGCCGCAACAGCCGCTAACAGCTGCTGCTTGTCTCTCTCTTGCTCGGCTCTCCAGCAGTATGTCATGCAGCCTTCTGCAAACCGCTGAATATCTGGTAATCTAACCGCTTTCCACCACTTAGCAAGAGATCCGTACGTCGCGCGCCACTCCGCCACAAGCCGGAAATCCTGCTAGTGCCAAAACGCGATACGAACGCCACACGTCACCACGCCCCCAGCCGTGAAACTTGCAAGCACCAGGTCGCGAAGCGTGCGCCACACGTCACCGCGCCCCTAGCCGTGTCTCGATAGCAGCAGGTCGCATAGCGTACACCACACGACACCTTGCCCCCAGTCGCGAATTCAGCTAGCACTAGGTCGCGAAACGTAAGCTTCACGCCAACGCGCCCACGGCCACGAATCCCGCGAGCAACAGGTTAGCGCAGCGATTGCTTCACGCTACCCTGCCCACAGCAGCGATTCCACGTAGGAGCGCGTAGTGAAGTGACGGTTTCACGCCATAGCTGCGATTTACGCTAGGAGCAGGGACCCAAGTGGACGGTTGTTGCTTTCGCCCCTGACGCCACGACTCACGTTAGGAGCAGGATCTGCAGTGGACGTCTTCGCGTAGCCGAGTGTGCGGCTGGTTTTCCCTCGCTAGGAGCAGGAACTGCAGTGTGCGTTTCCTCGTTACCACGTGCACAACCAGGTTTTCCCCGCTTGGAGCAAGATTAGTAGTGTTCGGTTTCTCGCTACCCCGCCACACGGGCACACCGGGCTCTCTTGTTGCTAGGAGCTGGAACTGAAGAGCGCGGATCTAGACAGACGCTACAGGATCCACGGCATGGCCGACTTGCAGCACGAGCACACACCTACGCAGGCACCGCATGGCGAGGCGGAAGCACTTGCTGACCCAGACAGGCACTCAGGCACTAGCGCTCGGGAGAATGTAGCGCAGCCCCAAGCAAACACTCTCAAGCGGCCTTGGGTAGGCCCTACGCAGCCACTCCTCCTCGGTCTCCGGCGCCTGAGCTCGGTAGACCGACTTTGCTCGGAGGGGACACCATGCAAACGACACCGCGAGGCACCAGCCGCCCCCATGAGTACCAACGACATGCTCGGTGTACCGCCGCTCTCAGGAACTTCGCAGCGGCTTAGTAATGGGGATGCTCAGCCTCCTTTGGCTGAGGCACCACTCACGGTTGGTGAACAGCGGGAGGCGGCTGTTACCCCACGCACGCCCTCGGTAGACCAGCAAGCATCGCCCAATTGCCCACACGCATCCTCTGGGCTGGTGGATGCACAAGACACCCGAGGGGTAGATGGGCGTGGGCAGGAACCAAGTGATCCGGGGATGGACAGGGCAGTGGCGGCGTGGGAGGCGCAACGCCGGCACTTGCAGGAGCTGCATAATAGGCGGCGGCGCGAGCTTCCACTTGGTGCCACGGCAACAGAGTCGCCCGGCACTCTTGGAGCTTCAGTGGGTCCTAGCAGGGCTCCACTTGGACCGCGCTTGGCACGACGGCAGGAGCTGAGGCGTTTGTTGGTAGCTGGCACGGGCGGTCGGCAAGAGTGGGCGACGGCAGAGCAGGCGGAGTCGACAGCGGGGAGGCAGGAGGTGCAGGGGGCCCTGCTGGCGGATGAGGGCCGGGAGTGCGGGGCAGGTGGGCAGCAGGGGGTGACGGATGCAGGCCTGCCGGAAAAGGTGCTGAGGAGGCAGCCGAGCCGTCTGGCGGAGGGCCAGCTGGGCCTGCCGACAAAGGTCCAGGGGGAGTTACTCGAGGAGGAGCATTGGGAGCGTGGGGAACAGGGACGGAAACCAGGGAGGGAGCAACCGGAAACGCTGTCGGCGATGCAGCAGGGTCAGCCGGTGGCTGCAGGGGAGACTAGAGACATCAATCCCTTCCCGAAGGCACGAACGGGGGCGTCTCTAAAGGGATGGGCTGGAGCTGTGGAACATACTTTTCTCTTTCGGAGCGCGCAAGGACAAGGTGTGCAGCCCGCGAGCACGGGGCAAGAGGGTGTGCGCCGTCGTGGTCGAGGTCGCGGTCGTGGTCGTAGCGGGACTGCTCAACGAGGGCGCCTCGCGGGCCAGCACGAGCAACAGTCGGAAAGGCAGCCAAGTGAGTTGCAGGAGCAGCAGTTTGAAAGGCAACAACAGCGGAGTCAGCAGGGTGGGCTGCCTCCCCGGCAGCATGAGCAGCTGGGCGAAGGTCAGCAGGGATGGCAGCCAGGAGAGCAGCAGAAACTGTGGCTTAGGGAGCAGCAGGAACTGCAAATGAGGGAGCAGCAGGGAATGCAGCCAGGAGAGCAGCAGGAACGGCAGCCAGGGGAGCAGCAGAAACGGCAGCCAGGGGAGCAGCAGGACATGCAGATAGGGGAGGAACAGCAGGAAATCCAGATGGGGGAGCAGCAGGCACGGCAGCCAGGAGAGCAGCAGGAAATGCAGATGGGGGAGCAGTTGGAACTGCAGCCTGGGGAGCAGCAGGAGCTGCAGCCAAGGGAGCAGCAGGAAATGCAACGGGGGGAGCAGCAAGAAATGCAGCCAGGAGAGCGGCAGGAAATGCAGTCAGGAGAGCAGCAGGAGCTGCAGCCAGGGGAGCAGCAGGAAATACAACGGGGGGAGCAGCAGGAAATGCATCCAGGAGAGCAGCAGGAAATGCAGCCAGGGGAGCAGCAGGAAATGCAGCCAGGGGAGCAGCAGGAAATGCAGCCAGGGGAGCAGCAGGAAATGCAGCCAGGGGAGCAGCAGGAAATGCAGCCAGGGGAGCAGCAGGAAATGCAGCCAGGGGAGCAGCAAGAACTGAGGCTGGAGGAGCAGCACCCAGGAGAGCAGCAGGGGCAGCAGCTGGGCACCTGGGTGGGTGATACATGGGAAGTCATGGGTGTAGCGAGCCCACTTCGAGTGGAGCAGCAAGAAATGGAGACAGATTTGGTGTCTGTGTCACAGCTCTCGGGCCACAGTGGGGAGCACCAACAACATCTTTTTGTTCCTCCTGGGGAGCTGCAGATAGGGGAAACGGATCAGAGAGGGCAGCAGCTGCGTGAGCTGGGCGCTCAGGCGCAGGGGCCCTTGGACGACCAACTGCCACGAGGCAAGGGCAGGAGGCGACGCGGAGGCCAGGGCAAGCAGCGGTCGGGCAATCAGCAGGATCAGCAGGCAGAGGGCGAGTTGGGGCGGCCGCTTACGAGCCAACGTCCGGGAGGCCAGCTGGTGCGACGGCGGCCACTGTCAGGGGAACAGGGAGTGACTGCAGCACCTGAGGGCGTGCAGCAGGCAAGGGGACAGCAGGGAGTGACTGCAGCACCCCAGGGCGTGCAGCAGGCAGGGGGACGACAGGGAGTGACTGCAGCACCTGAGGGCGTGCAGCATGCAGGGGGACAGCAGGGAGTGATTGCAGCACCTCAAGGCGTGCAGCAGGCAGCGGGACAGCAGGGAGTGACTGCAGCACCCCAGGGCATGCAGCAAACAGCGAGACAGCAGGGAGTGACTGCAGCACCTGAGGGCGTGCAGCAGGCAGGGGGACAGCAGGGACTGATTGCAGCACCTCAAGGCGTGCAGCAGGCAGCGGGACAGCAGGGAGTGACTGCAGCACCCCAGGGCGTGCAGCAGGCAGCGGGACAGCAGGGGGTGACTGCAGCACCTCAGGGCGTGCAGCACGCAGGGGAGCAGCTGGGGGCGAGGGCAGCACTTCAGGGCGTGCGGCAGCGGCAGCAGCAGCAGCAGCAGCCCCCCCCGATCCCTCCGGAAAGCCCCACACCGGGGGTTGCGGAGAATTCAGCCACTCCTGACACGGCTCCACTTGCTCCAACTTGTGTCCCTTGCGAGTTCTGCTTTCACACATTTCCGCCTGGTGGTGCGGCCTCCCGCCACATAGTTGCATGTAAAGCGGCAGATGCTCAACGGCGGGCTCAGGCCCTTACTTCCTCCCCGAACCTGAGCGAGGTCTTCGGGGCAGATCCAGTACCTCCGCGGGATATCGGTGAGGAGGTGTGGGGGGCGGTGCCTTCGTGGGACTGGGAGACTTTTTTCAGTATTCATTCTGTGTCGGGAGAGCTTCTTCGTCGGGTCCCGCAGCGGGCGCGACTGGGGGTGCTTGATGCATTGTGCTGCATTCTCAAGAGACTGAAGGCTTCCCCTGGGGATGAGGCGGCGACGCTGATGTTCCTGGCCTTCCCGCGCCTCATTTTGGGAGTCCCCGCGAAGGAGGGTCTTGGACGAAGGGCAGCCATAGTAGGGCGTCTCGGAAAGTTCTGGGCAGGGGAATGGCAACAGCTGTTCGAGGCTGCCTCTGCCACGTTGACTCCGGCGGCGCGACCTCTTGCCTTCTCCTTACCTGAGCGAGATGCTGATGCCATCCGTTTGGCCCGATGTCGCACGAGGTGCCAAGTGGGGGAATGGAGTCGAGGACTAGCATGCCTTACTGCGGGCGACTTGGCGCAGCCCTCTCAACTAACAGTAGACCGGCTGACAGCAAAGCACCCGGCCAGTGAGGTGCCAGTTCCTGAGTGGGTGGAGCACTTTCGCATAGACGTTTCTCATCTTCCCCACCTAACTGAAGACATCCTCAAGCATGCTATTCATTCCGCAGCGCGAGCCTCAGCACCAGGCCCCTCAGGATGGATGACAGAGCACCTCCGAGACACATTTCTCTCGGAGCCTTCCTATCTCCCGCATCTGTTGGAGGTGTTCAGGCAGTGGATTTCGGGATGCGTTTCTGAGCGGGTGCGGCCCTGGCTTGCAGCCTCGAACTTGGTTGGGTTATCCAAGCCGAACGGGGACGTCCGCCCAGTGGCTATCGGAGAGGTGCTCCCTCGGATTCTGGCGCGTGCGTTATGCGTTCTTCTTCGTCCCGACATGGAGACCTACTTCGCTCCTTGTAACCAACTAGGGGTGGGGACTAAGTCGGGGGTGGAGATTCTGGCCCATGCTTTCCGCTCGGCTGTAGCGGTTCATCCGACGTGGTGCGCGCTGCAGATCGATGTAGCGAATGCCTTCAACTCGTTCCATCGGCACGTGATGTTCGACGGCCTCCGCGATTCTCCTTTTGCTGGCCTTATCCCTTTCTTACGCGTCTTTTATGGGGTGCCCAGCGGTCTGTACCTTCGCACAGGCCCCTTTGTCGAGATGCTGGCGTCCGAGCGGGGTTCGCGACAGGGGGATCCATTTGGTCCCTTCCTTTTTGCTTTCACGCAGCAGTTGGTTATGGGGCCTACAATGAAGGATTTCCCTGATCTTCTTTTCTTGAGCTACGCTGATGACACCTACGTTCTTGGCCCGCGGGAGCGGGTGTTGGCGGCGTACGATGTCTTGCGGGAGCGACTGGAGTGGGTGGGCTTGGAGGTGCAATCGCACAAGTGTAGGATGTGGGAAAGAGGGGAGGCGGCAGCGTCTGGGGATATTCCGCTGGGAATGCAGCAGTCGTGGACGGGGTTAACAGTGGTGGGGGTACCTATTGGAGAGGAGGATTGGGAGGTGGCCCGCTTGAGGGAGAGACTTTTGCAGCTGCGATCACCTCTACCTTGGCTTCCTATTTTGAACCACCCCCAGATTGCCTCCCACTTGTTGGCTGTTGCCGTGTCTGCGCGGCCGCTCTTCTTGACTCGCACTGTTCCCCCTCGTCCTGAGGTTCTTGACGCTTTCAGAGATTGGGATGGGGCTTTGGAAGAGTGCTTTGAGCAACTTTTCCCGCCAGACACTTGGGACTTCAGTCCTGATAGGTCGCGCATGGCTCACCTGCAGCTGCACCTCCCGGCTCGTTTGGGCGGGTTTGGCATTCGTTCAGCAGCAACTCTTAGCCCTCTCTCTTACGTCTGTGGGTGGTGCCAGGCTGCGAGTGCTGTTGTCAAGCTGGGAGTAGCGGGCGAGGAGCAGATGTTCAGTGAGTTCTTCCGCACTCCGCCGGCTGGGGATTTACTGGACCCTTGGTTTACCAAGGCCCTTGACCAGCTCCCGCCTGTTGTCAGGCAGGAATTGCCGAGTTTGGGGCTCTGCACTACAAATCCCCCCCTCCGGCTTTTCCCAGCGCAGCAGCGTCGCTTGGCGGTTGAAAGTCTTCAGTCTCTGCGGCGCATGGCCCGAGATGATGCTACCTTGGCCTGTTTGACTTCCCTTCAGGGCCCGGGTTCGGCAGCATGGGTGTCCGCAGTTCCAGCGCATGATGACGCAACTTTCACCCCTGTGGAGTGGGGCATTTCGGCGGCAATCCGTTTGGGCCTTCCCGTCCACCAGCTTCTGGTTGCTGGCAAGTGTGTTTGCGGTGTGGAGTACAAGGACCCGTCAGATCCGCACCATGCTCTTCGGTGCAAGTACCAGTATGCCCCGTCTCGTGTTCATGATGCAGTGAAGCTCGTTGTTGCTAAGATAGCCAAGGCATCGGGTGGGGTGGTTACGATCGAGGATGACACGCTTCTGCCGGGGAAGAGAGTGGATGTGGCGGTTAGGAAACCAATGGACGGGGAAAAACATGCGCTCGAGGTGAGCGTCGTGGATCCGGTTTCGCTACCGGTGTAGCAGCATGGGCAGTGTGGGCGGACAGTAGGTTTTGCTGCCAAGGAGCGAGAGAAGAGGAAGGCGACGGATTATCAACCTTTTCTGCGGCAGCACAGGGGGGTTCGTTTCTTCCCGTTGATTCTTGAGACTTGGGGTTGCTTGGGGGGAAGCTTTCGACAGTGGTTACGGTAGCAGGGGGAGGTTCAAGTAAAGGTGGCTCTTAACAAAGGTGTGGGAAGGGGCAACAGCTCGGGTTTCTCGGAATACTTGGTGGGGTCCTTGACAGCCGCGGTAGGGGTAGCAGAAGGCACAGGCTCGGGTGATTCTTTTGCGGGCGGCATACACGTTGGGTCAGTCCGAGGCGGAGTGGGTGGAGCGAGGGGGTGGGGAGAAGGAGTTTGGAGAGGGAGCACCATGGGTGGACGTGCCCTACTTGGTCGACATGCGGCTGTAGATGTCTTAGGAAGCAATACTTTGTTTCGGGTTTTGGCGATGGTCTTTTGATGTTTGAGGTAGTAAGACACTTCTAGGAAGGGTTTATGCATGTCTGTATGCTTGTTGAAATGTAATTTTGACATTTTAGGGTATTTATCGAAAATATAGAGTTTCTACATGCGATAGGTAAATTGACATAGAAGTATCTCTTGAAGGCTCTGATATTGTCTGTTGCCATTGCTATATACTTAAAAAAAAAAAAAGTCTCCCGGGTCCTTTATCCAGAAGGTGGAAAGCTTAATCTGGGATATTTGGAGAGGGCCCCTTTCTTATGTTGAAGAAACTTAGTGTCCCTTTCAACACATCGATCTGTTTTGTAACGTTGTGCGTTGTTGCGTTAGGCTCTAAGTGTAAGGAAAAAAATTCCTTATCGGGGTTGCCCTTATGCGCGGGTATCAACGGATAATAGAAAGCACAGGGATGAAGACCGTTCCCAGGGAAGAGGTTTCCCCAACCCAATCCCGAAGGAGTCACTCACTCACAACTGCAAACCTTGCAGAAGAAACCATTTCATTGGCGCCGTACATCTCCCCAGCAGACAACCCGCGGCACAGCAAGCCAACTGACGATGCTGTGACGCAAGGCCAGCAAACCAACCGACGCTGTAGAATGCTCGTGGGTGCACTTGCCACGGTTTGGGGGGTTCCTTTCTTGGTAAGAAATCGATGACTTGGTTTCGGTAATTTATTCGGTCATTTTGGCCTTGTTCGGCTGCACTCAAAATCTTCCCCAACCAAACCAAAACACAACAATAGTGAAAGAACGCCTAGCAGCAGGTTTCTGGATGACGATTCACAAAAGCAGCTCATCGCAGAATTTCAAGGTGTCCTGAAACTGCTGAGGCTGACCCGAAAATCTTGACGCGATTTGAGAAATGTCCCCGATCAGGCACAAATTGCTGGGAGAGGCCAGGAAAAGGGGGAGGAAGGAAGGAGGGGGGGGAGAGGGGTAAGGCGGGAAAGGCCCACGGAAGCAGTGGCTGGGGGAGAGGGGAGGAAAGGATTTTCAACTTGTGAAAGGAGGCAGCATCTGGACTGGAACAAGGAGCGGCTCGTGCGACATTAGCAGAGACGTGAAGACTTTTTGCCCACACTTAGAGAGAATTTCTCCAGACCCGGAAACGGTGATTTGCCGTTGCACACGTGGCCTTGAGTTGCTACCGTGGTCGGACAATTCGATGATAATTGCTCGAGTGGTCTTGCCAGAGGTTTCCTCTGGCATTTTTTTTATCCGGCACATTACCCAAAACCGGTTTTTAGCCCTGAAATTCTTACGTCGAACTTGTCTCTTCCTGCGAAAGTGTGACGCACCCGGAAAGACGTGCACGAGGGCGGCGCCGTCACTGTTCGGATACGCGACAAAAATCGGCACGGTAATCTAGGCAAACAGTTGCGCTCAATTTCGGTCCATATCGTAACCAATCCGCGCATAGTTATATGATTCCCCGATCATATACTCAGTTGCACGGATGTCAGTACGCACGACCAATTACAGAGTGCGCTTGATTGGTCGACTTTATGCGTGGGGCCTTTTCTGACCTTGCGCGTCCAATAAGACGCGGTCATGTAAGATTGCGCTCATATAAAACCGCATATTTACCTATATGAGCGCGCATATGTGATGCTCGAATGCGTGTGTGATCTGTTTTATTAATATAAAACTATGTTAATAAATTTGAGAGACGTTATCACTACCGGCGTTTTGCCATTATACCTATATCAAACTGTGCATATCTATATCGCACAACGTGATATAGGTATAATGGCAAAACGCCGGCAGTGATAATGTCTCTCGAAATTATTAATATAGTTTTAGATTAATAAAACAGATCATACACACATTCGAGCATCACATATGCGCGCTCATATAGGTAAATATGCGGTTTTATATGAGCGCGATCTTACATGACCGCGTCTGATTGGACGCGCTGTGAGAATGAGAACGAGAATGGGGTGAACAATGAAAATGAAGTGAGTACAAATATGAAACCCTAATTGGTTGTACCCCCTATGGGATACCCCACTATAGCCTACACAACAGCATAAGCTATAATGTTCTGACACACCCCCATAGGCAAAGTGGGGGAGAACAAGGGGTCACAAGACCAGTCAAGCAAAGCAAAGCAAAGCAAGCTCAGGGTGGATCACAAAGTCACCACACAGTCCGAGCACAGGGTCAAGGCCACACTGCCAGTTCACATGCAAGAGTACACACATATATATAAAGCTAGACAAGCAAGAGCAGGTATATATATATGTGAGAGTACAAGCAAGGTCAAGAGGAGAGCAAGTGAGGCAAGACGGGCACAAGACCCAGCTGAGTGCAGAAGCGCTGATGATCACAAGGCGGAAGTGCCTTGGTGAAGACATCAGCAGTGTTGGCCTCAGAGGCCACGTACGCAAGCCGCAACTGTCCACGTTGCTGTAGCTCACGAGCAAGGAAGTAGCGGAGAGCAATGTGCTTTGTTCTGTGCTCCAGTCGCTGCTCTCGACACAAGGCCAGCATGGCCTTGTTGTCTACGTACAGGACTGGAGGAGAACGAGGCGGCTCTCCAAGGTCGGTCAGCAGGTAGGTGAGCCAGCGAAGCTCCTGTGCAGCCATGGCCCCGGCGTAGATCTCAGCCTCACAACTCGAGCCAAGAACAGAAGACGAGCGAGTAGCCCGCCACGAAACAGAGCCGGAACCAAGGCTGAAGGTGTAACCCTGTGACGACCGCTGCGTAGCCTGGTCGTCA